GGGGGGGGCATAGTTCCCCCATGCTGGCTCAGGAATTCTGGGAGTTGAAGTCCACCAGTCATGAGGGGGGGGCATAGTTCCCCCATGCTGGCACAGGAATTCTGGGAGTTGAAGTCCACCAGTCATGAGGGGGGGGCATAGTTCCCCCATGCTGGCTCAGGAATTCTGGGAGTTGAAGTCCACGAGTCATAAAAGAGCCAAGGTGGCCTACCCCTGGCCTAGACCATTTCAGACAAATGGCTGATTAATCCACCCTTTTCTGCCTTTGCCACTTTTTTATTTTCATTTTTTTTTTTAAAGAAGTATTGCTTTGCTCTTTGACATCTGCCACTGAACTTTTATTTAGACGGTGTTTGGGTGCAGCTCTCTTAAAGGAAAACTCCTCTTTTCTTTGTTCCTTTCCCCATTCCTTTCTTTCTTTCTTTCTTTTCCCCCCCTCTGCCCTTGTCTTGCAGCTACACCTGCCGCCATTTGCGGAGATACGTCTGTGTCTTGGACAGATTGTATTTCCCCCGCCAGTCCCACTGCTCTGCGCTGGAGCGTTGCTTCTCAGCCCTCGGCGACCACGGAGAGGAACTCTTGACTTTAACTTGCTCTCACATGCTCAGATCCTATGCTTCCAGGTTGTGAACCTCCGCTCTCCACTTACCGCATGCTGCATGACACGCGTGACCGGCCGGTGCATGAGCGAAGGGGGCAAAGGGGGGGGGGCGGAAAGGGGGGGGAGGCTGTCAGATTTTAGATGGCCAGTAACTTTTACTAACAAAGCAGCTGCTGGTGTCAGGTAGCATCCACACACCGTACAAAAAAGCAAGCCGGTTGTGGTTTTTCACACTTGAGTAAAGTAGAGCTGGGCGCGGCCTCCATACTTCCCAGAAACGGAGTGTAGATTTCCTTTGTCAGTACAAAGGTAGTCCTGGACTTACAACAAGTTCATTTAGTGACGGTTCAGAGTCACAGCGGCACTGAAAATAGTGACTTAGGACCGTTGCAGCATTCCCATGTCACCTGGTTTACATTCGGATGCTTGACCACCGACTCACATTTATGACGGTTGCTGTGCCCTGGAGTCATACAATTCCCCTTTTGCGACCTTCTGACAAGCAAAGTCAGTGGTAATTAATAATAATAATAATAATAATAATAATAATAGTAATAAAGTTGGAAGGGACCTTGGAGGTCATCTAGTCCAACCCCCCGCTCAGGCAGGAAATAATATACCATTTCAGACAAATGGCTGTCCAGTCTCTTCTTAAAAACTTCCAATGTTGGAGCATTCACCCCTTCTGGAGGCAGGTAGTTCCACTGGTTAATTGTTCTGATTATCAGGTGAAACTAGATTCTGTGTTATTAATTTAAGAACTAATTTGCCACCAACTGTGGCAAAAAAAGTCGTAAAATAGGGCAAAACTCACTGAACAGATTTCCCACTTAGCAACATCAATTTTGGGTTCAATTTTGGCGGTAACTTGAGGACGACCTGTATTAAATATCACTCTTTTCCCAGTTCAGCTTCATTTTCACATCCACACCGGCTGTGTCATTTAACTACCATAGGTGGGAATAGAACATTTTCAAGATGGGTCCTTGGTACCCTCTGCGCTTGCTTGTTTTCTTGCAGATGTTTCATTATCCAACTATTGTTATTGATGATGTTGCCTAGTTTGGGTAATGAAACGTCTGCAAGACGACAGCCAAGTTCAGAGAGCACCAAGGACTTCACAGATATTCTCTTCTGTATTTTCAAGTCATGTAGAGAACTAATTATTATTTGGGAAGTCCGTATTTTCCCTCCCCTGGAAATTTTCTAGGCAGGATTTGTTTATATCCCACTGTTATTATTTTTATAAGCAACTCAGGGTGGTGAACGTATCTAATACTCCAGGGGTCTTCAAACTTGGCCCCTCTTTTATGACTGGTGGACTTCAACTCCCAGAATTCCTCAGCCAGGCATGCTTCATCTAGGCCAGGGGCCTTCAAACTGGGCCCTTTTATGACTTCAACTCCCAGAATTCCTCAGCCAGGCACACTTCATCTAGGCCAGGGGCCTTCAAACTGGGCCCTTTTATGACTTGTGGACTTCAACTCCCAGCATTCCTCAGCCAGGCACGTGTGCCTGGCTGAGGAATTCTGGGAGTTGAAGTCCACAAGTCATAAAAGGGCCCAGTCTGAAGACCCCTGTAATATTCCTTCCTCCTCCAGTGTTTTTTTTCACCACAACCACAGTGGATTGGGATGAGAGAGAGGGACTGGCCCATAGTCACCCAGCTGGCTTTTGTAGGTAAGGCAGGGTTAGAACTCACGATCTCCCAGTTTAGCCTGGTGCTTTAACCACTAGACCGAACTGCACCCCTACAGTCTACTCAGAAAGCATCATTGCTAATAATAGCAGTTTCCTTCCCTTTCCTTCCCCAAAGCAGCCGTGTCATGTACTTCTTCACGCCGACCGATTGCCACCTGCGGGGGTAAAGAAACCCACAGTATAACGTCTTCCATTTCCACATGGCTCACTATAATTAAACATTTCTCTACTCAGATGTGTGTGTAAGAAGAACTCACACCCGCTTCTTGTCACCAGACACACGGAGGGCCTTAGGTAGAACCCTGATTTTTCTGAGCCATTTTTTTTGTGGGGGGGTGTAAAATTTTGGTGCTAAGAATGCCAAAGAAGCAAAGAGTAACGTTCAGATGAGGCAGAGTTAGTAGGAGCCCTGCATGTGTATAACATCAAAAGGAGACTAGTGTAGGGAAACAAAACAGAAGGCCTGCCTGTATGTTTTGTTCTTTTCTTAGTCAACGGAAACTATAATCGGGGTTGCAACTTGATTGACTAGTGCAGGAGTAGGCAACCTGGGCTCTTTTATGACTGGTGGACTTCAACTCCCAGAATTCCTGAGTCAGCATGGCTCAGCTTGGAAACCTCTCCCTTTCCCCTCAGCATGGCTGGCTCAGGAATTCTGGGAGTTGAAGTCCACGAGTCATAAAAGAGCCCAGATTGCCTACCCTTGCCCAAATGCCTGAATTTTGATCATGTGACTGTGAGGAAAAAATATTTAAATATTTAAACCAGGGGTCTTCAAACATGGCCCTTTTATGACTAGTGGACTTCAACTCCCAGAATTCCTGAGCCAGCATTGAGGAATTATGCCCCCCCTCATGACTGGTGGACTTCAACTCCCAGAATTCCTCACCCAGCATGGCTCAGCATGGAAACCTCTCCCTTTTCCCTCAGCATGGCTGGCTCAGGAATTCTGGGAGTTGAAGTCCACCAGTCATAAAAGAGCCAAGGTTGCCTACCCCTGGCCTAGTGGTTTGAATATAAGACTTGGCGGAGGCTAATTGGCTATATTTCAACCCCAATTGGACATTCTTTTTTTAAATTTTTTGAAGCCCCTAGAGCAGGGGTCCCCAATCCCCAGGCTGCGCACCGGTACCGGTCCACGGCCTCTTAGGAACCGGGCTGCATAGATGAAGGTGAGGGTGGGTGAGTGAAACTGTGTACGTGCAGCATATATATATATTGCATGCTCCTCCTTTCCCCTCTCCTATTCCGTGGAAAAATTATCTTCCGCAAAACCAGTCCCTGGTGCCAAAAAGGTTGGGGACCTCAGCTGTAGAGTGCTTGCTGCTTCTTTCAAGAGATGAAGTCAAAAGGAACATGAAAACATATTAGGCAAATCTCACATCAGTGATTTTTTTGGTCTTCCTCTTAGTCTTATGGAATTGTTCTATTAGAATAAGAATAGAATAGAATAGAATAGAATAGAATAGAATAGAATAGAATAGAATAGAATAGAACTGGAAGGGACCATGGAGGTCTTCTAGTCCAGCCCCCCTGCTCAAGCAGGAGAATTCTATACCATCTTAGACAAGTGAATGTCTAGTCTCTTCTTAAAAATCTTCAGGGATGGAGCACCCACGATGACTGGTGGCAAGCTGTTCCACTGGTCAATTGTCCTCCCTGTCAGGAAGTTTCTCCTTAATTCCAGGTTGCTGCTCTCCTTGGTCAGTTTCCAGCCATTGTTTCTCATCCTTCCCTCTGGTGCTTTGGAGAATAGTTTGACCCCCTCCTCTCCTTTGTGGCAGCCCCTCAAATACTGGAAGACTGCTATCATGTCACCCCTATTTCTTCTTTTCTTCAGACTAGCCAAGCCCAAGTCCCGCAGCCGTTCTTCGTATGTTTTAGCCTCCAGGCCTTGGATCATCTTAATTGCTCTTCTCTGAATTTTTTCCAAACTCTCAACATCTTTTAGTCAGATCCAAAGATGTGGTCCAGATTTGGTCAATATCCAAGCAGCATGTTTTAGCAAAGTGCACTAAGAAACAATTGAATTAGTACCAAATAGGGGCAAATGGGAGACACTGGATGTGTTTAATTGATTATTCCCCAAAATTAAGTTAAGAAAATCTTTTTTTTAAAAAAAATATTGAATCATTTTTCAAATTTGTGGAAAAGCTTGAGGTTATGCATGCTAAAAGTCCCCCCCCCCAAAGAACACAGCATAGCACAGTATAGCTTCTCCAAATAAAATAGTACATTTAAATTCATGCTAAACTCACTTTGCACATTCCTTAGTGTTTTATGAGTGGTGCCAAAAATTTCGGGACAGCAAAGGGGAAAAAATTGCATGACAAAATTTGACCAGAATATGGAGATTATCCATAATGGGAATAACAGTATTCCGACTATGCAAGCATATAAGGCAGAGAGACCACACAGTAAACATAAATAAAACCAGCTTGATTGTCAAGGGAAGAAGAAAAAGAAAACATGGCATGCAATTTAAAATAGTTTCCTTTGCTTAAGAACAAACAATCGTTGTCTATAAAGAAAGACTTTTTTAAAAAAAATTTAAAAAAGTCTTTACAAGAGGAAAACATAGCAGTAAAAGAGAGTTTATCGAACTGTTCAGATTAAAACCAGGAATAACAAACGTCTGCAGGAATGAAATCTTTGACTGAATTTATCTAAACTGAGGGTGGGTCAGGAAACCCTGCTGAAAGAGGAATGAAAATTATTTTCTCATATATGTATGTCCGTATTACCTTTCTACATAACTGGTGCAAAAATCCAAACATGCTGTATTTTGGCTTCCAGAACTCCTTATTGGCATGGAAGGGGGAGACCGTGGAAATACCAGATTTGAGGATCTGGTTAATGTAGCCGCCTACTACGTGTGAAGCTGTGTTTGCTCAGCTTCGGGTGATCTCAGAAGGCTGAAGAATTGGGGTGGTGGGCTGGACCAAGCAGTCAGAATAGCATTTTGGAAACAAGCAGTCAGAACAATTAACCAGTGGAACAACCTGCCTCCAGAAGCGGTGAATGCTCCAACCCTGGAAGTTTTTAAGAAGAGACTGGACAGCCATTTGTCTGAAATGGTATAGGGTTTCCTGCCTGAGCAGGGGGTTGGACTAGATGACCTCCAAGGTCCCTCCCAACTTTATTATTATTATTATTAACAACATGCCTCCAGAAGTTGTGAATGCTCCAACCCTGGAAGTTTTTAAGAAGAGACGGGACAGCCATTTGTCTGAAATGGTATAGGGTTTCTTGCCTGAGCAGGGGGTTGGACTAGATGACCTCCAAGGTCCCTTCCAACTTTATTATTATTATTATTATTAT